ATCATTAGTATCACCAAAATTAATTTGACACTTGTTACCATTTGCATGTCTTCCACGTCCAGTGCAATATTTTTGACGTGCGATTTTTCATCAAACACCACGTGTATGGACTCTTCAACCACCATTGTTCTTTTGTTTAATATTCTGAATGCTTTGCTGGTAGTCGAATATCCTAGAAAAATTCCTTCATCTGCACGCTCATCGAGAGCTTTTAGATGCAATTCATCATTAATATGAATAAAACATTTGCATCCAAAAATATGAAAATAATTAATATTTGGTTTTCTCCCTTTGTATAATTCATATGGAGTCTTCTTGTACTGCTTGTGAATCATGCTTCTATTTTGTGTGTAGCAAGCAGTGTTGATAGCTTCCGCCCAATATCTTTTCGGGAGACCAGACGCACTAATCATCACTCGTGCAGCTTCTTTGAGCGTCCGGATTCTTCTTTCGGCTACACCATTTTGTTGTGGCGTTCTTGCGGCAGATAATTGATGAGAAATTCCTTGTGCATCGCAAAATGATTGAATCATGCTATTCACGAACTCGGTTCCACGATCGGTTCAGATTTTTGATATTTTCATATCCTTCTCATTTTGGAGTTGCTTCAATAGCTTTGGTAGCACTTGCTCAACTTCGCTTTTCTTCTTGATAAACACGGTCTAAGTGTACCATCATCAAAAACAACAAGAGTATATTTCTTACCACTTACACTTATTGGATCGACTGGTCCAAACAAGTCCATGTGTAGTAAGCTTAGCGGTCTTGACGTTGACTCTTGCGTCTTTGATTTGAACAACGATTTAATTTGTTTTCCATGTTGGCATGCGTCGCACACTTGGTCCTTCTTGAAGACAATATTTGGTAAACCTTCAACAAGATTTTTCTTTGCAAGTTGATTCATTGTCTTGAAGTTTAGATGGTTGAGCTTCCTATGCCATTCTCAATTTTCTTCATTTGAATTTCTGGCCATTAAGCATACAGACTCTTTGCTTGTGTTCCAATCAACAACGTACATATTTTTCTTCCTTGCTCCAGTGAGTACTACTTCCTTTGTTGTTTCATTTTTGATTAGGCATTTATCTTTAGAAAATTCCACAAGATAGCCTTTATTACAAAATTGACTTGTACTCAGCAAGTTGAACTTCAAACCTTCCACGTACGATACATCTTCAATTTTTATTCCATTTCTTTGAATCGTACCAACTCCTTTGGTAATTCCATAATTTTGATTTCCTCCAAAAATCACTTTTGGTCCATCGATTTTCTTCAAATTCACTAGATATGATTTATTTCTCGTCATGTGGCGGGAGCAGCCACTATCGATGTACCAAACATCCTACAAAAAAGATTAATTATTTTTAGGTACCCATTCTTGCTTGGGTCCTTTGTTGTTAGTGATTTTTGGTAGCCAAACCCACCTAGATCCTATTGAATTATCATAATTGACTTTAGAAAATATTTTTGGTGCCCGTTTTTTAAAATCATTTTTATACTTTGGCACCTGGGAAGAGGATTGTTGTTTTGGTCTATAAAAAGCATTAAATCTATCATACAACCAATCCTTTTGAGTGGGATAAAATCTCTCAGCCCCAATCCTTGGAAAACTTCCCTCTTTCCTATGAGATCTTTTTGCACTTAACTCATTGGCATATCTTTTGTGTTTATTGAAACTTTGTTGCTTAGCCGTGATATTATAATGATTCGGCCTAGCAATATTCAATTTCACATTTTGTTGATAGCCAAGTCCTCGTTTGCTTGTGCTATCCTGACTTTTCACAAATTTTACCACTTGCACTTTATTATTTAAAGTAGCAGTAAGAATAGTCAGTTTTGGAGGGGTTTGAGAACATGTGGAGTCATAACCAATTCCGGTTCTATCTCCTGATGGCTTTTGCATGTTTACCATTTTATCCATTTGTAAACAAAGAAAATTGAATAAAATATTGCAATATTCAAAATTTTGGTTACATGTCAAATATCAATGGGGTGTGGATACAAGTCTCTGGATAATCCTCTGAATCTTCGATTGATGCCTTGAACACTCCACCATTGAAGGGCCTCCGGGTTTCAAGTGGCTTGATCTTCAAAGAAGGGCTTGTATATATAGCTTGTTCTTCTTGAAGGGCCTCCGGGTTCAAATGGCTCGATCTTCAATAGAGGTTTGGATCAACATGCATCAACATATGGAGGAGGGGCTTTTACTTTCAGGATCACATTTTTATTGTGATCTCTGAATAAGCTTCAAAGCTTAGGATATTTCTATGATTTTTCCTAGGTTGTGTGATTAAATAGAAATGAAATGCCCTATTTATAGGGGTAGGATAAAGAGTTTTGATAAGCTCAAACTCTTTTGATATTATCTAATTAACAAATTAGATAATATCAATATTATCCAAAATATTTTAAATATATTTAAATATACTAATATTGATAAATAATCAATATTTATCAAAATTTAAGTGTCTACAAATGCCCCTTGAGACTTGCTTGTACACCACTTGAGAGCATATAACACTCGAAAGTATGTAGTGCAAGAAAGTCTCGACACTACAACTTAAAGATATAAGGCCGTTTCAACTCGTGCCAAGGAGCCTTGAAAGATATGAGGCCGTTTAAACTCGTGCCAAGGAGTATCATTTAGCCTCCTCAATTTCAAATTTCATATGGGGTTTGCCCCCATACCAGTTGAAAGTGCCTATGAAGAGATGAGAGGCAGAGCTGTCCCACTGGACGTGCCAATTTGTGAACAAAGAAACTTGAATAAAATATTGTAATATTCAAAATTCTGGGTTACATGTCAAATATCAAGGGGGTGTGTGTACAAGTCTCTGGATGGTCCTCTGATTCTTCAATTGGATGCCTTGAACACTCCACCATTGAAGGGCCTCTGGGTTTCAAGTGGCTTGATCTTCAAAGAAGGGCTTGTATATATAGCTTGTTCTTCTTGAAGGGCCTCCGGGTTCAAATGGCTTGATCTTCAATAGAGGTTTGGATCAACATGCATCCACATATGGAGGAGGAGCTTTTACTTTCAGGATCACATTTTTGTTGTGATCTCTGGATAAACTTGATGTTCTTTCTATGATTTTTCCTAGGATTTGTGATTACATAGAAATGAAAGGCCCTATTTATAGCTATAGGATAGAAGAGTTTTGATATGTTCAAACTCTTTTGATATTATCTAATTAACAAATTAGATAATATCAATATTATCCAAAATATTTTAAATATATTCAAATATACTAATATTGATAAATAATCAATATTTATCAAAATTTAAGTGTCTACACCATTATTTTGGACGAATTAGTAAACGTAGCAATGGTAGCTCTTAGATTATGTTCTCTAACCTCTTTAGCTTTACACTCTTCTTGAAGGCAAATAGTTTTACTCTTCAAGTTACTCACTTCAAGTAAAGCATCTTGCAATTTTTTATTCATCTCTTCTTTTTCAAGTATTAGAATATTATTGCGCTCCTTGAGTTGAGAATGAGTGGCCAAGATCTCTTGCCAATCTCGCATTAGATTGCCAATAGATTCACGAGAAAAGGAAGTACTAACTGAAGTAAAAGAATTAGATGTTACCTCTTCTTCCTCTGCTCCAAGAGCCATTAGACAATCTTCACTTGTACTCAACTCATTTGATTTGCATACTAGCGCTCTATCATTCTCTGAACTTAAACTTTCATCGCTTGATGACGATTCGTCGGACTCATCATCTTCATTCGGCTCATTGCTAACTAGTGCCTTTCTTTTGTCACGTTTGAATCTTCGATCTTTGTTGTCGAATTTATTTGGTGTAGATTCAACGTTTTTGCCTTGATATTTGCTAACGATCGGATGCGGACAATTTATTTTAAAATGTCCGGGTTTGCGGCAGTTGTAGCATAGATCGTTCATTTCATCAACTTTTTCTTCATTCGGCTTCCATGCTGCATTTTGGTTTCCAGGAGAGAAATTTTGATTTCTTCGTGATGAATATTTGTTGTCTCCTTTTCGCATGAATTTCCTGAACTTTTTAACAAAGAGAGCCAACTGTTCATCAGTCATAAAATCAATATTATCTACTGACAATGTTTGATCTTGTTACTAGTAACTGCTTGAACATCACCTTCATTATAATAGTCATCAGCATGTACCACGTTCGCAGCTTCCTACTTCTTCAACTCCTTCAAACCAGCCTCTTCCAGATTAGTTGGCTTTTCCGCCTTCAATGTTTTCAAAGGCCATGTTGCGCCAATAAATCCTTTACCCTAAACTGCCATAACCCAAAATTCCGTGTACAATGATGATGATGATGAGTAAATCCTAGAAATATGGAGATGAACAGACTCCGAGAACAGGGTTTACGCTTCCATTGCAGAGAGAAAGTTGGCAACCACGCCAGAAATGTAGAGAAAGAACTCTTAATTGTATAAATGGAGTCTCGGATCATGTGAATGAATTGGAAGAGGATGAAGAAAGGGAAATGGATCAACCAGTAGTGCAAGACAATCCAATAGAAAATGTTAAAGTCTCTTTCAATGCAATCCTTTGTGATAGTGGCTGCAGGAACACTGTTAAGTTGAAAGGAGTGTTGGAAAAAAAAAAAGAAGATTTGGCATCTTGGTATATAGTGAAAGCACCCATAGTTTCATCAATCCTCAATCGATTCAATATAAAAGGGTAAAGCAATTTCAAGGGGCTGACTTGGAAGTCACAACTGCTAATAGAGAAAAAATGAAATGTGATTTGAGTTGTCCTCGATTCCAGTGGAATATGCAGGGAAATCTATTTGAACATGCATGATGTTTATCGGCTTAAGCTTAGAAGTTGTGATATAGTTTTGGGAATGGACTGGATCCACAAACACTCTCCTATCCTCTTAGAAACGAAGCCAAACAGTATGACCATTAATCGTAAGGAGGATAGAATTAAAATTATGGGATTAAGCACTAGAAAATAGTGGCATCTGCATAAATGTGCAAGGTTATCTTGAATGATTGTTCTTGAGTTGTTTGAGTGTTATAATATTATGCGAATAAATATTCACTCGCATTATTTTAGGTTGGAATTATGGGAGTAATTCCTTCTTATGTATGCATTCTCAGACTTGTTTGAACCCAAATTAAATGTTGCACTTTAGATTGACATTAGGAGATTAAAAACTTGAACCCCGAAAATCCCACTTTTAATCTATCGTTTTCATCAACTTGTTCACCTTGTTCCCTTTTAATTAGTTATTCTTTTACAATCCATCAATCACCCTTTTCAATAGATCGAATTAGCTTCTCGTGAATAGATTAATAGCTAGTGCTTTAACGTCCCGCTTCCCTGTGGATCGATAACTCGATACTCCGAATAATTATTTGTTTGTTAAAATATACTACAACCATATATATATATATATATATATATATATATATATATATATATATATATATATATATATATATATATATATATATATATATATATATATATTGTTTATTAAGGACATTATTATAAATTGATCAATATAACCTAAAATATAACTCTTAACCAAACAAGGTAATATTATATTCCATAATCCAAACGAAATACAATGTAATTTTACATTCCCAAAATCTCACATTACCCTATTCGATGAAATCCTATTACCCGTGGTAATCTAGGATTTCGTGAACCAAACGTCCCCCGAAGGTTATCTTACATAACTCAAGAAAGGGAATGAAATTACATTTCCTTCAAAATCCTATGTGGAGGAATGTTCCATTCCCTAAGATAATATGAACCAAATATAAGAATATATTAGCTTTGGAATGTCTCATTCTCTTAGTTATGTTATATAACCAAAACCAAACACCCCTAAAAGTTATTGGCTCTTAGCCTCTTACCGTCGTCCTTTACACCTCCCTCCACAGGCCAATAATTTCCCACAAAACCTTCAGAAGTTGACATTTGTGAGAACCATTATACCATGGAAGCTATGAGTATTATTGGTATGCTGCCCAATCTGGAGGTACTTAAGCTCAAAAACTTTGCGTGTGTAGGAAAAGAATGGGAACTAATTGGAGAAGGTGGCTTCCCACAGTTTAAAGTTTTGCTCATTGCCCTTACAAATTTGAAGGAATGGAAGGCAAATGCTGACTCTCCTTTCCCGAAACTCCAACGCTTACTTTTAATTAATTAAGAAATTGCTTTGATGAGTTGAAAGAGATTCCAGAGTGAATTGGAGATATCATCACACTCCAGTTGGAGTATTATTGCTACGATTCCCTTGTGCGTTCTGCTCTCAGGATTAAAGAGCAACATGAAATCTACCGAAATTATATGTTAAAAGTTATCGACTGCCATACTCGACTAGGTTAGTTTGTATAATCTCAACTAATATCTTAATTTTTTGTCTGAATTAAACTTCAAGTAGTACATGTTATATGTTTCGATAATTTATTTTTATGGTTAAATACTAGATGCGTTCCAACGAACAGACCTGTGAAGTTGAAAGCGTCTGCCATGGTTTGACAGTACGTATGTTAATTAACTCTTCTGATCAGACTTTGTGTACACAAACACAGTTTTTCACGTACTGCATGCATGTACACAAAGTATTAAAGCGCATGTACACAAGGCTCATTTTTCACCTACTACATGTACTGTACCATTAATATTCTTCCCAAACAATGTACCGTTCATATTGATTGACATTTCTTTCACCGGCCTATACTGCATGTGCTTTTTTTTTTTTTTGAAAGTTACTGGCTCTTCTTTCTCAACCTACTGAGACACAAAAAAATCAATAACGCCTCCATTGAGGCTTGAACTCATAATCTTCTAAATGGAAGTCCAACCCGGGTACCATTAGACCACATAATCCTAGTATACTGCATGTACTTTTTTTTTTTTTTTTTTTTTTTTTAATTCACTATACAAATTTCACCAAACTTCATAGCATTTTAAATAGAGTTTTATTCAATTTTGGTTCCACGAGTATTGTTCCATTAATAATGTAATGTTGATTCACAACTTTCAAAATTTGTATAAATGGTCCACAAATATCAAATTTATTTTTTTTTAGCTTAAATGGTCCTTCATGTGAAATTTTCGTCAATTTTTCTCCGGGAAAATTATTTCCCCTTTATAGTAGAAGTATAATGGTATTTTCCTTTTGCGGAGATATCACTGGAATTGAAGGACTAGTTGCTAAGAATTGAAATTGATACTTGTGGAACAAATATGTAAGTTTTGAAAGTTGTGGATCAATATTTTTAATGTCACAACAACCGTTGGACCAAAAGTACGAAATTGGGGTCGGACTTTTATTAGAGATCACAAAACGTGGTGGTAAAAGGAAAAGATCATTATACAAATGCGGAAATAATTATTTCGGTGAAGAATTCACGGAAATTTTATCCGAATGACCATTTGTGCTAAAAATTTTATACTCTTATATCAATTATGCAAATTTTGAAAGTTGTGGATCAACATTGTTAGTGCCCTAATACTCGTTGAACTAAAAGTGCAAACAACTCTTTTAAATATCTTACAAGAGAAAATTACACTTTTGGTCCTATGACTATTGGAGTTTTGTTAATTTCAGTGTATGACTTTAAAAATTAACAATTTAGTACCCTAACTATGCAATTTTTAACACATTTGGTCCATCCTGCCAAATATCACCGGAAAAATATAAATCATTTTTAATTATTTAATAATGGGGGCAAATCGATTATTTCATACTCTTCTTATTATTCCAAAAGGCTGAACCCCAACCCTGGATGTAAATCATGGTGACTCAACTAAACATGAACCATAGCCGCACAAGAAGCCCCCCTCACTTTGAGAGGTTGCTCCCACACTGCCGCTGGTGAGACTCGATCCCTGGTCATTATTTCAAAATTTCACCTCTATGACCAATTGAGCTACCCATGCGGGCTATTTTAGACTCTTCTTTTTAACACATTTGGTCCATCCTGCCAAATATCTAAGGCACACGATATAATTTTCACCAATTTTACTTGCATATTCATCGACAATTTTTATAAACTCTTGAACCCCACGCACATATTCAAGTGTATTCTGTTTCTTATATATCCAACTCCAATCCATATCTCCTATTGTCGCACAACATTTAATTTAACTTAAAAGACTCAAGTTCAAGCTTTAACTAAATAATTTAAAATTTAAAATTTAAAATACTACTTAAAACTAATTAAATATTTTACTACCTAAAGGCTCATAATAGTTAGAATATTATGTAATTTTTATTTACTTTAGTTTGATAATTAATTTTTGTTTATTAAACATTTTGTTAAATTTGGTTATATACTATTTTATGTTATTTACTTACGTACTTTAATTTGATACTTATAAAATTATTTTTTATTTATTGATAATTAAACATTTTGTTAAATTTGGTTATATACTATTATATTCAAATCATACATGAATTTGGAATACACTTTGTTTGAAATCACTCTTTATGTTGTTAAGTACCAGTGAGGAAGCAAGTTTGAAATAAGAGAAGAGAGTAATGAAGAAGAAAGTTGGAAAAAGGTGAGTTGAAATACGCAGGGCAGATATGAAATACTCTTATTTCTGTCTTGGACGGAAATTAAAAATACCTACCCTGATTGCAGTATATTTCTCAAACAAATAATACCCGGAGTATCGGGTTATCGATCCACAGGGATGTGGGGTATTAAGAACTAGCTACTAATTTATTCTTATGAAGCTAATCCTAACGAAATACATGATTGAGCAATGATAAAAACTAAGTAAAACAAAGTATGCATGTTTATGAAAACAATAAGGGGAGAATGAGATTTTTGGGATTCAAGTATTTAATCACCTAGTGCCAATCTTAAGAACAATACTAAAATCTGTGTTTAACAAGTGTGAGAATGCAGATAGTAGCTAGAGTTACTCCTGTAATCTCTAACCTATGTGAATATTTACTCCCGTGATATAAACACCAAATAATATTAGAACAAGCATTCATAATAAATTCCTAATTACTACCATCTCCCAATGTGCAACAATCAAGGATTAAACTTCATAACATATTTGTCCTCTCCCAAGGTGCAACAGTTAGCAATTGTGTGTGTCCTAAATTATGCCCAACTCACGTTGTGACATAAAGAAAGCAATGAAACAAGTAATTACGGCCGTTAACTACTAGCATCAAACAATATAAACACAATTGCAACACAAGTTAAAGACCAAATAATAATATATTAAGAATTATAGAATTAGGCACATAGGTTCATAAATACTTTTATCCAAGAATCTCTAAAGTCTAATAGCCACACATGACTAATATGCAATACATAGCAAATATTAAGAGTTTACAAATAATCTAAAAGAATACAAGAATTAAACCAATCGATTCTCCCAAATCTCCTTAGCTTGCTTCTTGCTTCCTAAGACAACTTGTAGCTCTCAATTTTCTTCTTTCTTGTGTCCAAAACTGAGTATCAAATCGTCTAGGGTTGAAGAAGGCGTCCTTTTATAGCGGGAGTCGAACCGGGGCAAAATATGAATTTCCCCCGCAAGATTTGGAAACGTCCAAAACTGTTGAAAAACGGACTTGACGCGTCGAGTACTATCTTGACGCGTCGAGCCTTTGGTCGCGAAGAACAGATTTCCTACTGTCCGTTTTTGACCCGTCGAACACATTCTTGACGCATCGAATGCAAGGCGCCGGAAACTTGCTACACACTGTATTTTCTCGACGCGTCGAGTCGAGGGCTCGACGCATTCGAACACGGGACTTGCTGGAACTTTTGGATGCGTCGAGCCTTTGGCTCGACGCGTCGAACTTGCCGTGTACGCGTCTTTCGGTCTACGTTGGCTCCAAACTTGTCCTAGAACTTCCCTTGCTTTTAATCTTGACCTATAATGGTTTCAAAACACTAACAAACACCATAATATATTCAAAACAAGTATAACCATAACTAAATGATAAAACAAGGGAATATGCAAATAAAGTAAAATTTTGGTGAATTAAATCCAACAAATATAATCAAACTAACATTAGAAACATGTACAATTTGGCACACATCATGCCCTTCTATACTTTTCACCTATAGGTCAATTCAAACTTACCAACCAACAGTACGTGTTGGACGGAAATTCTGTCCAACTTTCCGTCAACAAAACTTTACCTGTATAAAGTTGAGATTTTTATTAAAATACCGACCAACATTAATGTTGGATGGAAACGTTGGACGGAAAACGCGAGATTTGCAACAGTGAATTACCAATTTAAATAAGCAAATTCAACATTCAATTATCTATGCATGAACATCTCCTATATAATTTTGCATTGATATAATTTCAAGTACTTATTTGAAAATAAACATTAGGCATTATTCTGTCCGCGCAATAATATGCGTGAAAAACTAGTATATATATATATATATATATATATATATATATATATATAATGTTAATTAACTGCAACTATATAATTTGAATATTATTTTTGTAAGAGAGTCTAAAGATAAATCTTGTTCATGATATAATTTGCCAGCAGAACCGCAGTGGACTGGGTCTTGGTAGCTTAGAAAACGAGCTAGCATTCAAAAATAAAAAACGAACGAAGTAAATAATGGTATGAGTTGTAACCTTTTGCCGAAAGAAGCTACTGAGTACTGAGTTGATCAGATAGCAGAACCGCAGTTGACCAAGTCGTCCGGGTCGTCGCACTTTTTATTTATATTAAAACTTATTGATGATTCAGTCACTTCCGGCCGCTATATAACATGGGTACTAGCAAGTGCATTATACCACCACATCCACATTTCTTCAATCAAACTAAACAGCTACATACATACCAATACCAATGGCTTTTATTCCCGTAAAATCTCTGATGACTACTTTAGAGCTTCAGTTTCTACACCCCCAACCACGAGTGATTCTCACAAACAAAATGCAGATTATGTCTCTTCATGAAAAACTTGGGCATTTGCTAGTTTTTCTTGAGGAGTGTGAGAAGAAAGAGAACATTTGTGAGGAGATGGAAGGAGTGACAAAAAAAATTAGAGAAGTGAGTGCCAAGGCTGAAGATTACATTGAAGCGGAGCTGTTGGAGGATCGTCTAACAGATACAGCCTTGCAGCGCTTAGTGGAAGGCGTTGAAGAACTGATGATCCAGATTACAAGGAATACCAATCACCTTGTCAACAATAGTAATCCTCCCAGCAGGGGGGTTGGTGGTTCCTCTCAAGGCACCTCAATGGTGGGACACTCAGAAGAACTGGAAAAGGTGATGTCTCAGCTCCTTCGAGACGGATGTAGACCACGCCAAGTAATTGCCATGGTAGGCATGGGCGGAGTGGGCAAGACAACTTTTGCCAAGACAATATATGAGGACTCTATCATTAAATCTCGTTTCGATTTACTTGCTTGGACGACCATATCCCATGAGTATAACAAAAGACAAGCGCTCCTTGACCTTTGTCGTTGCATCATGCCAATGGAGGGCGGTGATCTACAACTCCAACTGCACCGAATATTATCGGGCAAGAGGTACCTTATTATTGTGGATAACATATGGGAAACTGAAGCCTGGGATGATATCCAGATGTGCTTTCCAGATAACAATAACCGGAGCCGAATATTGTTGACCACTCGGGATAGGAGGATAGCCCTGCATGCCACCTCTCCAGGTGAGTATTGTCATGAGATGCGTTTCTTAAACTCAAGTGAAGGTTGGGATTTATTTAATCAAAAGTTTTTTGATAAAGAGTTTCTGAAAAATGAGTTTGAAACAATCGGGAGGAACATTGTTAAAAAATGTGATGGTTTACCGCTAGCAATTGTGGTGCTAGCAGGGCTTCTATCCAACATCAAAGAGTCAATAGATGAATGGGAAGTTGTTGAGGCAACAATAATAAATAATCTTGATGAACAAGTTTCAACAATATTCTCTTTGAGTTACAACAACTTGCCTAGCCACTTGAAGGGTTGCCTTTTGTATTTAGGTGTTTTCCATAAAGATTGTGATATTCCAATTAAAAAGCTCATTAGGTTGTGGATTGCGGAGGGATTTGTAGGGACTATGAGTCCTAGCAAGAGGCTAGAAGAAGTGGGTAGAGATTATTTGCAAGATCTCATTGATAGAAGTCTAATTATGGTTCAAAGAAGAAGATTTGATGGAAAAATCAAGACTTGTAAGATGCATGATACACTACATGAGTTGTGCACAAGCAAGGCTAAAATTGATGAGAACCTTTTGTACCTTGAAACTAAGGGTAGTAGCGATCGTTTTCGTCGCTTTATTGGATTGGGTGATAGGCGTTGGTTAAGTCTTAAAGTAGCAATTCCAGCTTTTCATTTGGTCATTAATTCCGGGAAATGTCGTTCCATTTTATGTTTTAATTTGGCTGTAAACTGCGATCGTGAATGGTATTTGCTGGCCAACTCTTTAAAGAAGTTAAGAGTGTTAGACTTGAGCAAGATTAACTTTGCATTAGGTATGCCTCCAGACATTACAGATCTTGTTTTCCTAAGGTACCTAGCAATAGCCTCAAGTAATGTTCTAAACTGTATACCTTTGCGGAAGAATTGGAATCTGCAGACCCTAGTTGTCGCAGAAGATGACAATGGTGCCTGTAGGCTGCCTCCTGGAATTTGGGACTTGCCACAGCTAAGGCATCTTGAAATCTTCCATCAGATTTCTATTGATCGTCCAACCGCGACTCGAGAAGATCTGCAGACACTTTATTGGTTGTCTACCTCAGAGTGCACAATGGAAGTGTTTTCCAGAATCCCAAATGTTAAAGAGTTGGGAATAATTGCAAAATGCGAAGCTGCCTCACAGGGTTTAGATAACTTATATTATTTAGAGAATCTTGAGAAGCTAAAAGTTATGGGCTCTTACACTCGTCCTTTACACCTCCCTCCACAGGCCAATAATTTCCCACAAAACCTTCAGAAGTTGACATTTGTGAGAACTCGTATACCATGGGAAGCCATGAGTATTATTAGTAAGCTGCCCCATCTGGAGGTGCTTAAACTCAAAAACTTTGCGTGTGTGGGAGAAGAGTGGGAACTAATTGGAGAAGGTGACTTCCCAAAGTTAAAAGTTTTGCTCATTTCTCTTACAAATTTGAAGGAATGGAAGGCAAATGTTGACTCTCCTTTCCCAAAACTCCAACGCTTACTCTTAAGAAATTGCTTTGAGTTGAAAGAGATGCCAGAGTGGATTGAAGGTATCTGCAACACACTCCAGTTAATTAAGTTGGAGTATTGCTACGCTTCCCTTGTGGCTTCTGCTAAGAGGATTAAAGAAGAGCAACTTGACAACTACGGAAATGATATGTTAGATGTAATTGACTCCAATACTCCACAAGGTTTGTATAATCTCAACTAATTTCTTAATTTTTATCTTAATTAAACTTCAATTAGTTTCGATAATTAATTTTTGTGATTAAATACTAGATGAGGACCATGCTAAAGAAGAAGATCGTTCCAACGAACAGACGACCTGTGAAGTTGAAAGCGTCTGCCATGGTTTGACAGTAAGTTAGCTCTTCTGCTCTCTGTGTATCCCTTCAATAAATGTATCTCATATCATAGTTGTTAATTAGCAGTATTTGCTACAGCACACTTTAAAGCTTTATATGTTAAGAAGTTTTAATTATGAATATTTAATTTTTGAAAGTCATGGATCAATATTGTTAGTGCCACAATATTCGTGGGACTAAAAGTGAACAAATCTTTTAATTATCTTACAATATGTTTTGTGCAGAGCCTTTGGTTTGAAGCAAAGGAGCTAAGGATCACCTGGGGTCATGATCCTACGTATTGGATTTGGACATCTGACTTCGGCACCGAGTATGGAATGCAATTTTAATTAAGTATAATATTATGGAAAGATTGCATGTATTATATATATGTATGTATGCATGTATTGTAATGTAACTTTGGTTAATTGTGTATAGGCATGAGGTTGCGAAGCTGGAGAAAGTTAGCGCATTCGATATCGGATTATCGTTTGACATTCGGTGCTTATATAAGATGAGTTGTTACTCTGCCTATCTTGTGTTCAAGCTTGAAGAGAGTGGAAACTTTCAAGATGTTTATACAGCATTGGCAGCTGTGAGATATGAGAAGGACAACGCCAGATACGGCTGGATGCATAAACAGAATTGGCACACTGATACATATGAATATCCTGATCCGGAGAAGATGGAAAGTGTAAGAGTGGAGGGAGGAAATCATAATATTATTACGGTATGGAAACTAATCTCTATATAGCTCTACTTCGTTCTATATATATAATTAGCTCTGATCTTCTGATCAAATTAAATAACTATTAATACGTACAATAACTTGTATTCCTCATCCAATTATATATGATGTCTCTGGGTGTCCTTCAATTTTTGTTCTTCGATTCCTCCTCATATATATACTTGAATTCTGAGGCAAAGTATATATACATATCATACTCTCAGGTCTTTCTAGCAAAGACAAAGTCTTATGGAGATTGCGGTCAGTTTCCCAATAGTCGTTCTGATGGGTGGATGGAAATCAAGCTCGGAGACTTTTACGTTTGTAATGGGAATGAGGGTGAGGTTCAATTACGACTGTGGCATACATCAAATCAGTATTGGAAGTCTGGTTTTGTTGTTAGGGGCGTTGAAATTCGGCCAGCAAACTAAGGATTGTTTTTTGCATTTTTATTTCGGTTTGTTTTAGTCTATGTGTGTTGTAATATATACTTGTGTTGATGCTCTAAGTGGCTGTGATGTATTTTTACAATTTATGAAATGAATTCCAGAAGCTGGGTCAGGAGAACGAGTTAATCAATTTTTTGACTACTACCAAATCATTGATGAACATAAAATGGGATTTGTCAGTTTGTATGTCAAAGGGTAAAATTTATTATATTGGATGGAAGGATATAAAAAATGACCATAGAGGGTGGGTCAACTGGGAAGATTTCTCTGTTGATGTTTGCATAAGGTTTTGGGTTTGTCTGGGGTTAGTGTGGAAGAGAAATTTACTCTGCTTAGCAAATCACCATTGTGCTGGCGGGATGTTTGAGGAGCTAAGAGTGCAAGTGTTGAGGTTACAACCTCGTAAAACTGAATCAGTTTTTTATTGCTAAATACATCACTAATCTTAAAAGAAACCTCAGGTGTTTTATCATGCTTGTTGGCCCTTCAACATTACTAAGATCATTATACGCCTGTTATAATGCGGAAATAATTATTTCGGTGAAAAATTGATAAAAAATTTATCAAAATGATAATTTGTGCTAAAAAAAATTGATACTCATGAATTAATTATGCAAGATTTGAAAGTTGTGAATCAATTTAGAGCATACATAATTCGGTATAGATTTTAGAGCATATATAATTTGGTATAGATTTTAGAGCATACATAATTTGGTAAGACATGCAAAATAAAAGAAACTGTTGACTAACCATTCACTATAAATTAAAAATGGAGCAAGCTAGGACAAGATTCCCTTCTTTAAATAAAGAAATATTGCAGCTAGTAAAAAAAAAAAATGAACATTAGAAAAAGAGCTAGTGTGTAGGACTCCACGCTAAACTACCTTATTTGCTTAATTCTTTAATGCAGCGTTCACTATTAGTTCTTTAACTTGGTTAAATAGTTAATATAAGTGTTTGATTAATTAATTTTTTATAAACATAAAAATTTAAAAAGCTGCTCAAAGTAGTTTTTTCGAACAGTTTTTTAAGAAAGTTATTTTGCATGCAATTAACTATCAGCTAATTTTATCGAACATCTTTCTACAATCAATTAATGCTATCAACTAGTCATACTACTAACCCAATTATTCAACAACTATGCACCAAACACTCCCATTGACCTTTTTGTGAATTGAATATGTCTACTACAGTCTACTCTTTGAGTCATTCAAAATTCCAAACCATACTATATAGCGTTAATATATGTGGTCAAGCTACACATAAATTGACATCTTTGTGAATATGTTGTAAGAAACAAGGTTGGAAAAACCCAATAATAATTCTATGAAAAAAAGATTATTATTTTATGAAAAAATTGGGAAGGACGAATGAATGATTCGGGTTAGTGGTTAGCACGAGTCGAGTGAAACATTCCTTCTTTAAAACCTTATTTGCTACCCCTCAAAAGTAGTCTAGATTTCACAGGATAAAATGTACTACGGTTGTCGATTGGTGTGTACTTTAGGGATTGAGGAGTTCAATAGTTGTGTACTTTAGGGATTGAGGAGTTCAATAGTTTTCAATGTGGCATTTAAAACCAGCCTTGTAATAGCAATTAATCCAAAAATGAAGCTTGAACAATTCTGATTGGATTGTGCCAGTGTACACATGAGTCAAGCCTTTTCAAGTTTGTTTTGTACCCCCTGCGCGCAAAATTAACCATCTATGCTATACAATTCAATAAACTTTAGAAAGGCTTTTGTATAAATAGTTGTGCAAGCCCACTTCTCAAACCAATGTGGGACAAAAGCTACTTTTTCCCTTCATTTTCCAACTCAAATGGGTCTACTTTGAGAATCAATTTCTCATTCATCCATTATCCATTTTTAGCGTACAATATATCAATCTCTTCGTCTCACTACAAAGAACATGAATCAACTTTGACCCGACCCAAATTAGAAGTGGACCCCACTAATAATTGTACCACAAAATAAACACTTAAAATATCATTTTATGCTATTATAAACTATTTTTTTCCAACATATGTTTGAGCTGAGGCAGCACCACTCCTACCCAAGCAACTCAGGACTAGCCAATCACGCTGAAACTCCACATCCCTATAACCCAGTTGTTATATATTGGACCATGATTCACACAACACTATGTAGATCATGGTCAAATACAATTATCAAATAAAACTGTAGTAGAGTTAAAATCATATTTTAGTGTTGTTAAAATGAAACTAATGTTCACTGTTAGAAAAATGAAATTAAAAAATAGAGCTTGTGCAATAACATATAGTGTCAAATGAAACTATATAGAATTAAAATAGATACTTTAGTGTTGCTATAATAATGAAACCAGTGTGTGAAAAATGAAACTAAAAAACAGATCAAACTAATACGTACAATAACATATATTGCTAAATGAATATGAAGTGTAATTAAAATTATACTTTAACTTACTATAATTAAAGGTATTGTTGATTTTCACAGCCTCGATGACTGCCCGACAGGTCAACACTCCAATGGAAAATGTTAAAGTCTCTTTCAATGCAATCCTTAGTGATAGTGGCAGGAACACTGTTAAGTTGCAATGAGTGTTGGAAAAAAAAAAAAAAGATTTGTCATCTTGGTATATAGTGGAAGCATCCATAGTTTCATCAATCCTCAATTGGTTCAATATAAAAGGGTAAAGAAATTACAAGGGGCTGAGTTAGAAGTCACAATTGCTAATAGAGAAAAAAATAAAATACGATTTGAGTTGTCCTCGATTCCAGTGGAATATGCAGGGAAATCTATTTAAACATGATGTTTATCTGCTTAAGCTTAGAAGTTGTGATATGGTTTGGGAATGGACTGAATCCACAAACACTCTCATATCCTCTTAGAAACGAAGCCAAACAGCATCACCATTAATCACAAGGGGATAGGATTAAGCACTAGAAAATAGTGGCAAGAAGTGGAATCTGCATAAATGTGCAAGGTAATCTTGAATGATTGTTCTTGAGTTGTTTGAGTGTTTATATTATGGGAATGAATATTCACTCACATTATTTTAGGTTGGAATTATGGGAGTAATTCCTTCTCATGTATGCATTCTCACACTTGTTTGAACCCAAATTCAATGTTGCACTTTAGATTGGCACTAGGAGATTAAGCACTTGAACCCCAAAAATTCCACTTTTACTCTATTGTTTTCATCAACTTGTTCACCTTGTTCCCTTTTAATTAGTTCTTCTTTTACAATCAATCAATCATCCTTTTCAATAGGATTAGCTTCTCGTGAATAGATTAGTAGCTAGTGCTTGAACGTCCCGCTTTCCTGTGGATCGATAACCCGATACTCTGAGTAATTATTTGTTTGTTAAAATATACTGCCACCATAAATGTTGATCATTTTTCCGTTTTGGAGCTCCTAGTCTTGAGACTTTGGACTTGAAAAAAAGTTCTGATTACTTTTGTAAATATTAAAATTTTGAAATCAATTATGTTCGTTAGAAATTTGTTATTCTTCGATCTCTTGTGACTTTAAATAATATTTTTGAAAACGTCCAAAGAAAGAGATCGAGACTGGGTACTTCATGTTTCTGATCTCGAAAGTCGAAACTAAGGTTGGTCTCTCTTTAATTTTCATTCCCAATTCGGAATAGTTAGTCTTGTGGCTTCTGATCTAATTCCATGGATTGATATTATTTTCATTTCTTAATCTCATTGTAAACTACTATGTTCTTCTCTAGGTTGAATTGCCAAATAATAAAAGTAACAATGGAATTTGTTTGTTTTGTGATTTGGGAAAACTTGCGTTATGCCTTTGAGGAAGAAAAACGACTGAAAAAGTCTCTCGCCAGTTTCTTCATTTCCCCGTGGATCCTTGTCATTCCATTTTATGAATTCATATACTGAGACTAATCTTGTTTGTGCCATCCATATAATACCTAAAAAGATGGCAAAACACTATCATAAATTTAAGGCAACTGTTTCTAAGGGCTCAAACTGAAAATCTCTGGTTAAGCCAAAAAAAAAAAAAAAAAAAAAAAAAAAAAAAAAAAAAACTCACACCATCTCATCCACACCTCATATGAGTTGAAGCTCATTTCATTAGTGCATCAAAGTGTTGCATTTTTGCTTTCCACTTGATCTCAACAATTCTTCATCTCTGTTGCCATATAAAGATTACATTCGTTTACTTTGATGCCTTGGCTTTAAGCTTTTTTACATTTATATATACTTCTACTATATCACTTTTAGTTGCTGTAGATAATCTATAGGTGATAGGTATACATATCAAAAGCTTTCATCACTTTCTTCTTATTAATAGCTTTTGGCCTTTCTTCAAGAAAAAGGAAAGAAAACAAATTAATCCGTACAATCAAAAGACAAAACTAATATTCCAAAACCTTAACACAAAGTGCTATAATGCGCATGAGCCAAACCACATCAAAAGATTGAATCCAATCAATTAACTAGCCTAATTCATGGTCTTATAAACACATATGTTGTTTCTTTAGTCATTATCTATGGATCATAGTCAACACATTTGTGTGAACCATAAATAAAAAGTATATTTTTAATATACTAAAAGTACATTATTTGTATACATAAAGTGCATTATTTGAAAGTACATGATTTTTTATATATCATCAAATAATGTAAATTCGGTACACAAATAATATACTTTTGGTATATTAATTAAAAATGCATATTGCATTCATCATAGTCCATACAACTATGTGGACCATAGTCTACACAACTATGTGGACCATAGTCCACACAATAATTTGTCTTCTTTCTTGGCAATTTATATCATGGACCAAGACCCACATAGCACTATGGATCCTAAACGGAATTGATGAGGTACAAGATTCATACTCGTAAGATACAAAATTTTATAACAAAGACACAAAAAATCACAACACAAGACACATACAAATGTTAATATTTACTTATTTTTCAAATATAATTTAGGTAAAAATAAAATTGTATTTATAGGTACAAAATTTCACTACACAAGACGCATAAATTCATAACAAATCAGTAAATTATTAGCTATATCAACTGTAGTTGTTTCATGTTAGACTAATTAAATAAGTATATAAATGTATTTAATTTTACTTTACCT